TTTTTTTTTTTTTTTGCAGTTTTTGGCCAGGGCTGGGTTTGAACCTGCCACCTCCAGCCTATGGGGCCATACAGGTGCCTTACTCCTTTGAGCCACAGGTGCCACACAATTATTATTATTTTTTTATTGTTGGGGATTCACTGAAGATACAAAGAACTAGGTTACCCTGATTGCATTTGTTAGATAAAGACCCTCTTTATAACTGTGTCCCACCCATTTTCTAAATTATTAAAAAAGGGGGGAAAAAAAGGAGCCTGAAACTGCTCATTTTCTTTTATAAGACTGTAAAGCCAGGATACCATAATTAGGTAGGAAGACAAAGAAAGCATAGTCTATTCAAACTTGTGAATATAGAAAAAAAAATCCTAAATATTAGCAAAAAGCCCTAGGAAAATATGTAAGAAATTTATATTTATTAGCAACTAGGGTCTACACAGGAATTCAAGTTAATATCAGAAAATCCATTAAATTATTCACAAAGTTTATAGATAAAAGGAAATAGCTATAGCTTTATTTCAATAGATAAATGAAAGATATTCAGTATAATTCAGTGCACATTCATGACAAAATCTTAGCAAACTGGTAACTGGAGGAAACCTACTTACTCTACTTTCTCAAAAGCTGAGAGCAAACATGAGTTCATGGTAAAACTGAATATTTTCCCCAAAGACTGACTTGATCTATTTCTATTTCTCATTTTCTATTTAATGTGAGGACCTTTACAAACCTCATAAATCATTACATTAAAAAGAAGGGAATGAATAAAGAGCTCACCTGAGATGTGTTCATTTTCCTTAGCTTTCAGGAGAGTGCAGAGCACTATGAAGGCTCAGCTGGGGGTACAGAAAGAAGATAGGGTCATGAGGTCTGGCTTGCCCCTCAGCTCCTAGATTCACTTACCCAAAATCTCAGCAACCCTATTGGTAAGTGGTCTCCCTAAGTGATAACAGGGTCCTATAGGCCTTCAAAAGGCATTAGAACCACTATGTAAGTATACACCACTGGTTTCTATGTAATTCTGAAATGATTATGGGGATTAAACCGGCTGTTTTTCAATGAGGGAACAAAGACTTTCTCAATTGATTTAATAATGCATATGTCCTTTGAACTAACATAAAGAAATAAAAACAGATTAGCAGAATTAAAGTATACCAAAGGATAAGACCAATTCTTTCATTAAAATTAATTTAGCTGAAAAACTCAGTGTGCATCATTTATATATTTTTCCTAGTAGTATTGTTTAGACTACAATACCCCTTCAATACTACTATAATACCCTACTACAATACTAACTATCCCTTGGTAATACACAGGAAATACTGCAAAAGAGATGAGATGTTTTAAGGCAAGGATTTTTAAATATTCGTTTTGATTAGGATGTTTTTCTCAAATGGTCCTTTTGATAAGATGCTTTTGGTAATTCAGCTGTGAGAGTAAAATGCACTGTTTTCCTGCTGGCTTTATCACAAATCAGGTGTCCCTGGAAAGTCACTGAGTCTTTCACATCACACGTCTTTAAAGCTTTCAAAAGAGTTAGAAAGAGATAACCTTAGAATAATTTACAAGTTTCATCACTCCAGGATTTGGTGAGGTCAGGACAAAGTCCCCAGTGACACATGTGTGACAGTAGTGCAGTATCTGTACAGAGTGGAGAACCAAGGGGAAGGGGGGCTATTTGGATTTCCACCCTCTGTCTGGTTACCCCTTACTCCCAGACCTCCCTTCACAGCTTTGCAATGATCTGGCCTTTCCTGAGCAGCCTAGGCCTGAGCCTCCCCAGTTCAAAACTGGGCCAAACCTCCCCATCATCCAGGAGCTTCTGGGGGTGGTGTCACCACTAAGTCTGGCTCATTTCTGGGCAGAAAAATCAGGAACTGCTGCTGCCCAAACAAATCTAGGATCTGCCCCTTTCTGCGTTCCTCTGCTTCTGCCCTGAAGCTCTAGAGACGGGACTAGACCAGAGGAGTCTCTCCTCCAGGTAAAATTCCTGTTTCCTATCTCTCAAGTATGCCTTGTTCTAGGAGCCAGGACCTGAACCTGAGAAACAAAGTTAATCCACAGGCAAAAATCTGACTCTTAGAAGGTATCATAATATTAGAATTAAAAGACAGACAGCCTCACAGTGCAGAAGGGGCCAGGAAAGGGATCGAAAAGATAACAGAAATCTCAGAATACATGTGACACATGGTGAGACTACAATTACAGCCACTTCCCACCATAGCCTTGTGTATTTGGGAAAATGTCACTCTGTTAAGAGCTGTGAAGACTGCAATGCTAGTTTTAAGCAGGTGTGATGCACGTGTTACACAATGTCTGAGTTCAAACATAATTGCACACCGGCCCTTGAATCCGAGCTCCCTCACTACCAGCTTGTGACCTAAGTACATCCCTCCACTAACTTGAGCCTCAGCTATTTTTGATCTGATGTCAACCTCATAGAGTGGTTATGTGGTTTCCTTAAGCCATCCAGTAAATAGAAAAAAGTGTCTTCTAAATATAAACAGCAATTGTCAGTCAGGGCTTAGTACCCTGCCAATTAGCTGTTGGCTATACAGGTGATGACTTTCTAAGTTTTAACACAACGCCATGTCGTTCTTAATGCCCTCATTTTAAGCTGAGTAACCAGACCCCTACCCAGTTTCCTTCCCTAGAGTAACCAGACCCCTACCCAGTTTCCTTCCCTAGCACCTGCTTACAAGCAACAGACTTAGACTTTACCGTGGTCTTTCGGGCTCCAGAGCTCGTGGTCTGGCCTCAGGCCCACTGCCCGCGCTTTCAGGCACGTCTGTCGCCAACTTTATAAACGAGCTTTCCCTGCCCACCGCCGGGTGGGCAAGTCTCATGGTTCGCATACGAGGGCCCGCACCGAGCACCTGCTCCAGACCAGCGTTCGGCTCCAACCGCTCCCCGGAGCCCGCGGGGTCAGGATTTCTCCCTGCCGGCCTTCCCCCGAAGGAAGGCTAGCCCTATCGCGTTCACTGATGTTGAAGGGCGGGAATCAGAGGCACTTCCCGCTGCTCCTCCCGGGCGCAAGCGCACCCCTCACGGCTGGTCACCCGAGTTCTCATCTCGCAGCGCACCCTCTATTTTGCAACTACATGCGGACGTCGCCAAACCACTTCCCCAACGTCCGAGAAGCCAAATGAGGAAGCGGGACTATAGCTGCACCGACACAGAAAAAGAAAGTAGCTCCTTCCCAGAGTGCTGTGCGGAGAACCAGACCAAATCAAGACTACATTTCCCACAAACCTGTGTTCACTTCTAAAGCGGCTACTTGGCGTTTCTGCGGGTGAGTTTCTGCGTGTGAGAACGTTGGGCCGGGAAGCTTCGAAGAGCCCTCGGTTCAGAATCTCTAAGATCCCCAAGAGGTTAAGGGTTAAACGTGAAGGCGGACGCCAAATGTAAATGGCCCTCAATTGGATCCTGATTGCAGTAACGGCATTTTTTTCACCTTAAGACTTTCGGACACAATTAGAGAAAACAATATGGAACGGCTGTTGAAATTTTTTAAAAAAGGAACCGTTACTTTTGTTAACTATTAAAAAAACTGGAGTTATGTAGTGAAATTGATTTTTTTCTTTTTTGAGGTATGGTCTCGCTCTTTCGTCTAGGCTGATCTCGAATTCCTGCTCTTATGAGATTCTTCAACCTTGGCCTCCCAAAGTGCTGGTATTGTAATCTAGTTCGACAAAATAATTAATTTTTTTTAAAGGCATTACTACGGAAGTATTTAGGATTGAAATGATATAACTTTAAGTTTACTTTATAATTTTATAAACTCTCAACCTGGAACCTTCATTCTGTCCCAAAGCCCAGTGGGTAAGTTGAGAGGCAGTTTGAATCAGGTGCTGCAGGTGTTAGAGGTATATAGAAAGGCTATAGTTAGTTTTTATATCCTAACATTGCTTTTTGATGAATTCTCTGATTATTTCAACACATTTCTATGTTAACTATCTTGGGTTTACATGTTTATATGACAAGTTTGCAGGTTGCTGATTATAATTATTCTTTAATGAATTACAAATAAAAACATAAAATTGCTGGTTGAACTATATTAAATCAATCATAACAGACTTTATCAGAAAGTGGTCACTACATATGTTCATTCACAAACATGTACTGAAAATCTGCTGTGCAATAGGCATCATTCCAGATGCTAGGATAGTAACATGATATAAAAGAGATAAAATTTCCTCCTTATATGAAGTTTATGATTAGGGTTGTTGTGGGGACACTAGAGGAAAGTAAAAAATGAGGCTGTAATAGATGGAGTTGGTGAAGCATCCTGTGAACAGTGACAACAAGAAGCCAGTATTACTTGCATGTTAGCTAGCCTATAGTAAGGGTAAAGAGTATTACCAGAACGTGGCAAAAATGCCATCCTGTAGGATTTGTGATCTTAGGAAGTGAAACATTGGAATAGCTAATGCACGGTTCACCACAGAGAGCAAAAGGAATGAATACGAGCCTCACACATTTTCTCCCTTCAAATGTCCTATCTCCTCTGTTAAACATCTGTAAACACCATTCTATATCTACTCCTAGAATTCCATGCATATCATCTCCACCAGATCTTTGTCACTGATTTTCCAGTCTTATGCTTCTCTAGCTACCAGCTACCTCACATCCAATTGAGCTATTGGATGTGAATTAGTAGAAATATAAACTCAGTACAAGTCTCTCCTTCAAAGTGAATAACCAAGTATACCTCCCCTTAAACTCTGCCCACTGGGAAGCTTTCTTTTCATCACACATTTCAGAACTACCCCTATGTGAACTGAAATTGTAGCAGCTATCACTTCCAATGATGCCACCACAGGTTGCAGACCCAGTTTGAAGGAGATTCAATCCATATGTAGACAAAGATCTCCTTTGGGAATACTTGGGGAATGATTTATGGCATATACTTGTGACTAAGTTATGAGGAACTTCAGCAAATAGACCCAGCCTCTTCTTTAGTTGAAGCCACAATCTTTAAACTAGGATATATTAAGGACTGGGAAAGAGGATCTGAATCTCTGTTATGATGATTCAGATCAGTTTCTGCCCATGAAACCTAGAATTTCACATACCCAGATACTCATATATATATATACACACACACATACTATGTATGTACACACCATAGACTATATGTATACACCTCCATATATATATTATATATATGTATATATATAAAAATGAACATGGATAATGAATATATAGATGGGTACTCTACTAAGGAATATATATTTATTTCATTTCAATGAACTTCATAATCAAAGAACAACCAACAACCACAACAGATCCATTCAGGTTATTACAAAAGATATCTATACATCAGAAATATTTAAAAAAATATTTATCAGGATCCCATTGGAAAAATATATTCTAAGGTATAAAATGCAGCATGGCTGCTCCTCAGTCTACAGTGGGCATACTCATATTGATAAATTTTCCCCTATCCAAATATTTTATACTTTCAGACCTAATATCCTAATACACACTCATATATGCTAACTAGTGCCTGCTTGTACTATTAAGATCTTCAGCTCCTTTGGAGTTTTGCTTTTTTCACTTCTAGATTATACCTTGCAATTTTCCCTCTGGGCATAGCTATTCCCATTATAGAGTCATTAAGGGAGATTATACAGAACAACTCTGAGGGGACTGGTGTACTTTTTCAAGGTATGTGTTATACTAGGATCATCCCTTAGGTTTACGAGACCCCTCAGAAGCTGGTTGATTTTCTCTTCTTTTTCTCAGCAACCTACAAGCAGTGACTTTTAGTAAACCTTAGAGACATTAAAATTGCAGAAAGTGCTAGGTATAACAAATCTGGACTGCCTAATAAGCCTCAAAAACCCAATTTGCTAGGCAAAGTATATAGAGCAGAGAGTATCTGTTCTGACTAAACAGTAGTAGATGTCTGACCACATCTTTTTAATATGGTAATTACTTTGGGCTTCTTGTATGCTTGGCAAATCCATTAGGTGAAGAAAAACTATTTCTTCACCTTGATCCTGACCTCACTATGAGTCTATACTACTAGGGATTGGAGAAGTTGGCATTTACCACGCCCCTGACCTCATAAAGTAGTGATAATTTTATAAAAGATTTAGGAGCACAAGCCTCTTCATGAAGTTAACCTTTCATTCAAACCTTATCTGAATGAATATATAAGATAAATTTTCATCTATTGAGGGCTCCTAAGTATTGGATCACATTTTAAACTGTCCAGATAGTTCCATTTAGGAATTGTCCCTCTCAATTTCTGTCACTATAAATTAGTTTTATCCTTTTTAAAGTCTTTTTCTAAAGAAATCATACAGTATATCCTCATTTATATCTGGATTTTTTTCATCAGGATAATGACTTTGTGAGTCATCCTTTTGTTGACTACCAGTGAGCAGGAACAGACTTACCCAGGGAGAAACTGCTAATGAGATCAAGGGGTACTCACTAAGTTCAAAGGGTTTAGGCTGTATCTGAATTCTAAGAAATGTTCCAATACCCAAGTTTCTAGACTCCTCCAATAGATGTTTCACGTTTCATTGACTATGCTTTCTCAAATTGTGGATTAAATAATTATTGTAATTTTTAAAAAGAAATATTGTCCCCAAACTTCCCAAATTTAACAGAAAATATTAATTTACCCATTTGAGAAGATTAACCAAGTCCAAGCAGGATAAATACAATGAGACAGAACTAGATACTTCATAGCCAAATCATTAACAGCCAAACACAAACAGAAAATCTTAAAATAAAAACTTATTATGTATAGGAGAGCATCAGTATGGTTAATGTCTAACTTCTCATTAGAAACAATGCACCTAGAAGGCAGTAGAATGGCATAGTCAGATGTTGAAAGAAAAAACTTCTAATGAAGAATTCTTTACCTAGAAAATTATCTTTCAATATAAAAGTAAAATTAAAGGCATTACTAGATAAAAAAGACTGGGATAATTTCTTGATATCATATCTGCCTTATAAGAAATACTAAATGAGAAATATTACTAGAGGCAAAGAAGGACACATCCAGATGATAACATGTCAGTCTGTCAGAAAGATATAAAAATTAGAAATGCATGAACACTTAACAACATAGCTTCAAAATACACAAAGCAAATTCTGACAAAATTAAAAGGAGAGATAGAAAATTTGACAATAGTAACTAGTGATTTCAGTCCCCTACTGTCCATAACTGAAAGAAAAAAAGAAGAAAAGAAGCAAGGTTATAGAAGACTTGAAAAATTCTGTCAATCAATTAACTTAAATGACATATATAGAACACTCCATTTAATGGCTACAGAATACACATCCTTTTAAATAACACACGGAATATTCTCTTAGGATAGACCATGTGTTAGGCCATAAAATAAATAGCAATAAATTTAATGGGAGTGTACTAATATAAAATATGCTCTTCAGCCACAGTGGAATAAAAGAGATCTCAAAAATATACCTGATACGTGCTTAAATATTTGGCCAGTACACATCATGAAACATAGGTGCACCAGAGACAAAGAGGTCTTAGAACAGTGGTTCTCAACCTTCCTAATGCCGTGGCCCTTTAATACAGTTCCTATTGTTCACAACCCACAGGTTGAGAACCTCTGTCTTAGAAGCTTCCAGGGAGAACAAAGAAGACGCATAACAAGTTGTTGATCAAGATGTCATTAGAATCCTTAATAGCAAAATAGGGAACTTGAATTCAACAGAGCAATGCCTTCCAAATTCTGAGGGCCAAGTATTTCTAATATGGAATTCCTTATTTACAAATAGGTCAATCAAAAATGAGATCAAAATGCAAGCTTTTCAGGCATTTAAGACCACAAAAACTTTATCTCCCATATACCCCTTCTGAGACTACTGCTGGGAATGTGTTCCTCCAAACTGAGAGAGGAAACCAAGAAAGAGGTAGACATGAAATCCCATCAGGGAGAGCATAGAAGGGACTCCTGAGGGTACTGGCAAAAGCACTATCAGGTAATAGGTGGTTTAGGGAGCAATCAGTACCAGATGTAGAAGGTAGAAGACCAAAGGCGCCAGGAAAGATTGCTTTAAAAGCCTGTAGTTCAGCAGTTAGGACCGAGGCAGGTGTGTTTGAACCAGGCCTGGGCCTGCTAAAACAACAATGCAACAAAAAAATAGCCGGGTGTTGTGGTGGGCGCCTG